AGAACTCTTTATAGGCACTTGTGAACTTAAGGTGCCAAGTTTTTTGGGTGCATTTAGGAGATAAAGTACCATTTAACTGTCAGGTCAAAAAGATTTCATTCTCTGAATCAGAAACATAAGCTTTTGCTGTTGTGCTGAATCCCTGCAACAATGCTGGGAGGATTGTTAGCTGATACGGGTCCTCATAACTTCACTGGGAACAGATTCTGGCACAGTGATTTTATTATCATCTCTTTACATGCTGAAAAAAAAGAAAAAAGTTAACGTTGTAGTTAATAAATATTTAATCTTTATCTTTTAAAAAATGATGTCTCATAAGTGGCTATGAGGAGAGATCAAAATTTTAAAAACAGGGTCTAGTGGGTGTCTCCCAAAGGATGTGAACAATACAAGCTTGCATTACATAAGCCAAAAGGTGATTCGAGCCCAAGCCTTTCCTTTCTGCCTTTCCTTCATCTTTTCTGGTTCCATGCTGGCGTGTTTTTATGCAAAACCAAGCATCTTCTGTGTTCAGAGAAAGGAGTAATAGAAATGTCGGTGTTTGTTAACAGATTTGACAAACTGTGGCAGCAAAAGCTATCTTTTTTATATTTTGGCATGAACAGTTACCATTTTATTGGGCCATTAATGCTATTTCAGAGCGTTATGCTGTATCCACAGGCAATAATTTAGCAGTTGTTTATCAGGAGCTTTCATAAAGCTTTGAATAGTATTATAACATTCAGTAACACTAACAACAGCATTTCAGAAAATGTGCCAGTTTACATGGGATATCTGTGAATATAGTTGTTCAGGAATGCATGACCCACATAACCTATAAATGTAATTGGAATTTACAGTGCTGGCATAGGCTGATGGATAGCAGATTAGAGCCCTGATTAACCATGTGATTCACAGGCTGGCAATATATTGTCCTAAGAAAGAGTCATTAGATGCAATCAGAATTTCAAGTGGTCAGATGAAATTCAAGTATGCTGTTTGCTTTCCTTCCCCCTCACCCCTCCTGATGTTTTTCTTTTTAGGTTGCCCTCTTACTCATTTATTTATTTATTTTATTTCCAGAGCTGGAAAATACTACTTTGATGAATCTGTTCCTCACCCTAAAGCTGTCTGTCTGTTATTCATCAGAAAGCAGGTCGCAGTTCAGTGAGCAGAAGAAAAGATTTTAATAGAAGCTGTGCCAAGGGCTGTAATGCATCATTTTAGGGCCCTAATTACATTACAATGACAAATATCAATGGTGACAACAGCAATAACCTACATCCTTTAATGGCTGTGCTGGAAAAGGAGTTTGGGCACTGTGCCATCAGATTAGACTTGGTTTCAAAACATAGGCCATTAGAAGTGTGTGTGTCCACAGCGTTTCTGGCTGATAGCTGAAGCCAGTGGAAGGGCCTCTAAATAAATGAAGCCTCTCTAAAGCCTGGTCCTGTGGGACAAAAGAGGTAAAATTAGATGACTGTGGAAGCAACCATGTTTCCGAGGCAACTTTCACTTTTCATGTGAGGAATTGGATGCCTGGTTTTATGAAATTATACTTTTTCCTTCTCCTGGCAGTTAGACTGATCATGAAAAACCCATTGATGTGATGCCTAACAGAAAAAAAGTCCTAAACTGTTGTTAAAATGTAGGTTTTTTAAAAAGCGTGTGAGTAGAAATATGGAGTTGTGCTTTGCCTTGTGTCAGAGTTTGTAGCTTAGGCAAACAAGAATGAGTTTCCAGGTTTCCTTCAGGGGTACTAGGAATAGGTCTACTGAGATGCTAATCTATGTCATCAGTACCTACACGTTCAGGCTTCAGGGCAGCATCTCAAGAAGCCCACTCAACTAGCTTCTGGCAGCTAACTCCTTTCTCTTGTATCTTTTGTGGAAGACAATCAAGCCTGCTGCTGTGGCATTATCTCCTGCAGTTAATTGTCGAAACAGTTGCAGTATTGAGACAGAGTGTGCTTCATATTTACTGTGTGAAAATGTCTGGTGTGAGACTTTTCTTGGTGCAGAACGTGTACCTTCCTATCATTTGTGCATGTAGGCAGTGTTTTCCTTCATGCCTTCAGACTGCATGTGGTCTCCAAAGATAGGCAGTCCGTGCCTCAGTCATGCTGTGTCTCTGCAGCCTGCTGCTGCTCAGCTGGGCTGTCTCCTTGCTGCCCGAGTTTGGAGGATGATAAAACGTAACTGTATGCACAACCATGCAGCTGGGGATGCTCTTTGTTAGGGAAAGTGATGACTGTCTTAATAAGGAAAAAATGCAAACACTTCGGCATAGCAAGGGCTTTTCGGCTTTGTTGTGACCAGCCTAGCAGAGAAATGCTGCTGAGGAATGTTTCAACATCACTTGAAGCTGTTTTAGCTCTTTTTCTTCTCCTTAGGCTGAGCTGGATGCTGTCTCCATCAGCTCACTTCCCTGCATGCAGCATGGAAGGACTCGTTCTGCACTCCAGTGGGATTGATATCAAGAGATTTATTGCAGTTGTGTAACTGTGTATATTCAGCCACCTGTTTTCAGTTACTTACAGCTTTTTAGAAAACTATTTTTAGGTGAACATTCCCCAGGTTCAGAATCTGCCAGAGGTGAATTTTTGTATAAATACTGTGCAAATATATTTCAGCCACATTTTGGCCAGAAGAGTGGTAGAAGAGAGGCATACTTCTGTTGGGGAGAGGGGAGAGAAGTGATAAAAAGAAAAGCTTCATAACTGGAATAACTTGCAATATCTATGATTGAGTACTTTAATTGAGAAGAAATGCCTCAAAGTGAATGGAATGAAATTATTTTTGTTGACTAAGCTATATTTATATTCTAGCTGAATGGTAATTTACAGGTTTGATGGAGAAGCCGGTGAAGTTTACATCCTGTTACCCAGGAGGTCAGATAAGACAATTGTAACAGTCCCTTCTGGCCTTAAAATCTATGAATCTACAAACTTTTAAAAATAAGATGCTGAGCTCCTGCATGGCGCTGAAGCTGGTTTTGTTCTCAGCTCCTTAGCAGCAGAGCAGTAAAGGTATCCAGCTAATGTAGCTGAGGTAGAAGAGTGGTTTTTGAAAGGCTACCCCCATGGAGCTGTGCAGGGGAAGGTTGTGACAGGCATTTTAAAGATGAGGCCAAGTTGTTTTGCAGCAGAAGAAAGCATGATCTGCCTGTTTTTTTATGAAGGCACATATGTATGTTAAATAGCAAGGTCAGAGTGGCTCCAGCTTATGCCAAGACAGGGGCACTTGGGAATTCTCTGCTCATGTGGAAAATAAAGTGTGTAGTTTTCTCTCTAGCTTTTGGGCACTCTGGAAATTTCTGCAAAAAAAATAGCAGTGTGGCTGGAACGCAAAATTTGGAAATGACTAGATTAAAGGTGCTTGAACCACTAAGAACAAGTACTTTACAGCTGTGCCTTGTATTACAGTCTACATTTCCTTAATCAAATAATGCTGTATTGGATTGTGTAGCCTTTCTGGCTGAAGCTTAGGTGCACACAACTTGTCGCTCCCCGTGCTGCTCTGTGTAACAAGCAGTTATTAAAATTCCTTGTCAACTAGTGTAGTGAATGCTGTCTGTTTAAAGGAATATTTAAGTTTTGCCTTGTGGGATATCTGATATTATAGGTGAATTTTAAATTTGTGGATAATTTAGATTTTTGTTTGAACAGAGCATATTATAAAGTATCCTGTAAGGTACCTATGCTGCTGAGTAGAAAGAAAAGATGTAGTAGACAAATACAAAAAAATTATGAAAATGCATAAATTTAATCAAATGAGGACTTGCATAAACAGTGGGGAGGTACAAGGACAGTTTAACATAGAAATTGCTATATAAGTAGCATATGGGAATCTGGATGGATTTCAGAGAATGGAAGAAGTTGTATTCCAAAATAGCATGTATTAACTCATGTGTATCGCACAGTATGCACAAGGGGGCAGAGTTAGTTTCACATGTGCTCTTACCTCTTGCAAACCATGTCTGCTGGTTACATAGCTCTCTAACTATAATATACCTTGAACTCAGATTTATTTTATATGAACTTCTGACTATTTACTGCTACTTGTGTGCCTTTTCTGATCTACACATTCTTTTCCAAGTGTTTGCCATTGAAAAGACAGTATAGCTAAAAGGCTGGAAGGTTTGCTTTTAGAAGAAGGAATGCTAAATTGCATGTTAGTATGTCTTTGTCACATGATTCGTGACTTTGCAAAAGGAAAAGCGTTCTATCCGATTGTAAAATGAGAAACTGATCCTGGTTAGAATTTATTGTAAGAAAATTATGATTTATGATAGGGAAGTCTGTGTGGCTTTGAATATTCTGCTTCTGGAGCTGTAATTCTTATGTTATCTAAGCAGATCTTCTCTGTCTCTATTGATATTTTCAGATTAAATACAGAGAATAAGAATTGATCTCTGGTATGAAAATAAAGCGTGTATTACTAATTTGTATTTACAGCTGCCACATGAAAGTAGCTACTACTAACCAGGAGAATAGATAACAGCATAAGTATGTTGCAAGACTGCAGTATTCCTTTCTGAAATGTATGGTAGAATGATTATCAGTAAGGTTATATATTTCAATGCTAATGTTCTCACGATATGTACTGTTACAAGTAAATGGTGTATTTGTTTGCTTTGCTTACAATGGCATTGCTATTATTTGAAATGATCCTTCTTTTTGCGTTGTAGGAGAGAGTTCAGTTTGATACACAGAATTTTGTTTATCTTTTTCGTTGCATCTCCTGAAGAGTCTGTTCTTCAAATTCCTGTGATTGTGTAACCAAAATTAATTACTCTTTGTATCAGTTCTAAATAGTGGTTTTTAAGGAAAACATTTTATCCAGAAATTACTAGCTTCCTAAGTACATTTGGATCCATGTGCAAACACTTTTGTTATTTTGAGGACATCTCTGGGCCAGAGGATGGCCAGAGTTGAAAAAAACCAAACTAATGTCTCTCTAGGGTTAATGGGTGACAGTCGCATTTATGTAATTGAACTTCTTTTTTCTTGTGACTTGCAGGCAGAAATTGTCAAGAGGCTGAATGCTATATGTGCACAAGTCATTCCCTTCCTGTCCCAAGAGGTAGGTAGTCATTTGTGCTGCTTCTGATATAAACAACTGCGTCACTGTATCTATCACGGAGGTGGGACTTTGTGTTAGGAGTGTTTCCTTATGAATCTCTTGGCACTTGCAGATAACTTTCCATTGTGCTGTTATCACTTTAACATCATTATCTTCTTCAAGCCTATTATAATATCATTTAAATATATTTATGAAATGGAATGTGTTGTAATGTCAAAGCAGAATTTTAGTTTAAATATTTTTCTTCAATGTACAATATAGTTTCTCTTGCAATTACGGTTTTGTGGGTCTGAAATCAAAGACAGCTTGCAAAAATGCTAGAAAGGCATAATTTGTGCTACATCCTTGGCAATGAACATTAAAGTTCGGCAGAAACTTCGGCTTTGGTACATGAATAATGATGTTCAACACAGCAGGCATAGAAACACAGCTTTTATGTTGGCTTTTTTCTCTCTCTGAAAACCTGATTACTTGCTACCTTAAATCCTTTTATGTTTTTGTGTATTTGGGGAATATAAACAGAAAATTGAAACTCACTGTGAGCTAATTTCTCTAACCATTAGTTTTCTCCAAATTATGATTTGCTAGTATTATTGTGAGTGCATTGTAGATAATTTAAGAGGCACTGGGATTTGGGGGAGTTGATGGGAGCATATGAGGAAGCTTCTGAGCAACTGCTGTGTGTTAAGTAAATAGGAAGTGTGCTTCATTAAAGGAGACCTTGGGTGCCTTATGGCTTCCCTTGTCCACCCGTCTGAAGGAAAGGGGCTGGAGACAGGGATCTGGTGCAGGTTAGTGTGCATCAATTAAGCACATGGTTTCCTTTCAGTACAATGTGTAGCTGTGAAGACAAAATTGGAAGGTGTATTTTTGTGTATTGCATCTGAGAGCACAGTGTGACTTTGTCCTGGCTTTTCACTTATTGCGTAAAATACCAGTGTTTTTCAAGGGAGCTGCTCAGCTGGCTGCAAATGAGAGGCTGTGTGCTCCATGTTGCTTTTCAGGTAATGAGCTTTGTGTGTGCCACGTGTGTGTATCTGTATGTGTTTGAAACAGGAATAATGCCATCAAAGCTAGAAGCTGACGGTATTGGTGACTGCCACTATACTCTCTGCTTATTAAGATGGAGTTGTGGAAACTAAAAGATGTGTAATGTTCTTGCTCCATTGCTGAAAGACCAGAATTAAAGTCTTGCACAGATCTAAAACAAGTAGCTGTTTTGTACTTTGACTGCCTCAGAGTCTCTATAGGTGTAGTTACATGGTTTTATTTGCTGTGCAGAGATACCGTATATACACAGCAGGGAAGGATTGAGAGGGGAAGCATAAAATAGCTTTTCATGTGTCTTGGCAGTGCAACTGGCAGTGACTTGTTTTTGTAATGGATTTAGGAAAATCTTGAGGATTGATTAACTTCTTCTAATAAGAATACATATTTAGATATCTATATTGGCATACATTGATGTGTCAAAAGAGAGCTGAGCTTCAGGTTTGAGTATGCTGATAGTCTTGGTTTCTCTCTAATTTTTGTCTTTAAAATGTTAGTGTCTTAATGAAAGTCTCTTTATTTCATCATCCAGATTAATATAGAATTGAATTGCAGCATGCTTTTGCTGTTTATGCGTTTTACATACAGTCTAATTGTGGAATAGTGGCTGAAAAATGTGATCAGCCTTCTTAATATTGTGCCTGAGGGAAAAATGAACAAAATACAGTGGTTGCATGCACTGATGGCAACATTATTGCCTCATAATAGCACCAGGTTAACTTGTCTTATTGCTTGTTAACTTTGTAAGGAATCAATGGCTTGTGATAACTCACTTAGAAGTAAGAAATTGTGGGCAAAATCACTAGAGATCTTGTGAAAAGGATGGATTTATAATACATCACCCTACTGTGTACTACTGTCTGCTTTGTTTCTGGGGGCAGTCCAGTAAAATATTCAGTAAGTTCTCCAGGCCTCAGTCAGTTTTATTGTGCTGTACATCATCTAAGCATATATTTAAAACAAAATTTCTAATCTGCCTAAAAACACAGTCAACTGGTACCTTGCTTTTACATTTATTCCAGCTTAGGCAGACTGTAAAAAACAACACTAAGAAATAAAAGCTTTCCATTTTCGTAGGAAAGAGTGATTCTGTGGTCAGAAATGAGATGCACCTTAGGGCAGTATGTGTTCAATTTCTGTTGTGGATTTGGGTTTCCTCTGTTGCAGCAGTCATTTTCCACCTCTGTGATATTGTGAGATACCGGTGTGCTGAAAGTAGTTTCTATTGCATAAGATGAAAGGGGCGCCTGCAAGAGGGGGTTGTGGTCATTCAGTTAACTTAGTTTTGATCTGCTGCACTTGGTAGATAGTTCAGTGTTCCCATGCTTGAATGACCTAGCCAGTACAGTGCAATTAATTTTGTGTCTGTAGCCATAGACAGTACCTCTGCTAGTTGACACTTCTCATCTGAATTTACCAGCTTCAGCAGAGTATGACACTTTCACAACCCTGTGGCTTTCAGGCTGGGTCTGGTTCCTGTCTGCTCAAGGTGGTATGACTGGCTGGTTGCAGCCTTTGGCTATCATTGTGGGCGAAGTGCCGAATGACCTCAAGTGTTGTCTAGTGGCATTTCTTCAGAGTGTCTGGAGATATATATCACAGTTACCTTCTTTTGAGTAAAGACTGTCTTGTGTTTATATACATGAAACACATGCAAGCTGGCTGATATACAGCAGATGCTGTAGTTGTGGCAACTTGGAGCTCAGCACTGCTTGTAAAAGCTGCTTGAGGAGCAAGGATTGATCCTCGTTACGTGCCTCAATGTAAGCATTTTGTAAGGCTGAAGGACGCTGTAATAAACTTTTTTGGGAGGTTCACTTTCCCTTCCAACCACCACTGAACTAGCTAATAACAAGCTAGATGAATTGTTTTTTAACAGGCATCTGCAATTCCCTGTGCACATTAAGGAGGTCAGATACACTTACTAGTATAATAAAATGCCAAACACTGGCATGCATACATGTAAACAAACATCCAAAGAAATTCTGCTTGGAGTCTTCTCTTTTCAAACATTTTGATATCAGTTGATGGTTTTCCTTCTAAGAGATTGATGTGGGCCATAATATCCTTGCTCTGCTTTGTACATACTTTCCCTAGAGGTTTAACTAAAGTCCAGTAAATTTGAATGAGGAGTGTGAGATCCATTATGTAGAAGCAGAGCAGGAGTTCTTACATAATGATCAAGAGGAAATAGCTTTTGGTCTGAGATGTGAGTTTGAGAAGACAGAATTATTTGCCTCCATCTTAGACTTGCCTAGACTAGAACTAAATGGTAAATACAGGGAAACACTGAGAGATCTGTAATTCTTCTGCCAAGGAATGCATCTTATTAGCAATTTATGCATATATTGCTAATAATGCTCTTATATTTTTCTGAAGTAGTTATTATATCTTGTCTAAGTTGTGGTGCCTGGATGCAGCGACCCAGCTTCTGCCTTCTAGCTTTTACAGTGTGTGCTGTAGTACACGGTAAATGTGTATTTGCATTCCAATTCTCACTAGCATTTTTGGCATGGCCTTGTCTCATTATGCTGTCTCTAGATAAGGCTTCCAAGAAGGGCAGTGCTGCAGTTCTTAAGCAAGACCTGTACTTTCTCTAAACGTGTAACAACAGAATAATACAAGTAAGGAATAGCAGAGGCTGCTTGCTTCTTCAAAGCAAATTTTTCTGTGAGTTCTGCTTTGGATATTGGTGGCGATCCTGAAGACAGGCTGTAATTAGGGGTTTTTAACACCAGTATAATTGTGTCCACGCCTGGGGGAATTTTGGCGCTCACTTGCTGTCAGCACAGCTCCCCTGTCATTGGGAGTTGTGAAGAGCTCTGACATGGTATAAAAAGCCCGAGAATTTTCCACCATGTTGCAGTGCCTGTGCATAAGCCACGGCTAGGTGACAGCTGTGTGGTGAGACAATGTAGTGGTGAAAAAGCCTAGGTTCTTCCTGTGGTCTCTCTAGCTGTTGCTACCCACTGTGAGACTTAAAAGAAGTGATTTTCCAAAACTAAGCAAGTACAGACACACCGCTCATTACTGAATGCAAAAAGGGGAGAAGAAACAAGAGGGGAAGTTAGAAAGGAGAAACAGTACTAGTCTGCATGACAGGTGGGGCAGGGTATTGAGCTTATTGCTCTGGCATGCTAAATGAGTGCAAAATACTGTTTTCCTAGGACTGAGAAAACCCTAGATCTGTCTTTTGCTTGTGTGTATAGAGGAAGGCTACCATTAAACGTGTGTGAAAGTTGCAACCCTGTGCCTGTATTTGGTTGGAGAAAAAGTAACCTTTTTTTGTTGTTGCTGTTTTTGTTTGGTTGTGCATCATTACATGATCACTTGCTGGACAGGCAGATGAGTTCTGCTTTTAACATAAGGCTGCTTGTTACTGGTGTGCTGGCCCAGGAGGGGCTCAGGCACATGGCAGCTGTTGGAACCATCCATCCTTGGGTACCATTTCAGCGGCCCCTGGCCTTTCTGCCCCTCACCTTGGTTTTGGGTTGCAGTGGTTCCCTGGAACCAGCTGGGCTCCTTCTCTCCGTGCAGAGATCCCCACCTGTTCCTAGAGCCATGGCTGGTAACATGGAACCACCAGCCTGCCCCAGTTTCAGAAAGGCTGTGAGCAGACAGCACTTCAAACCCTGCGTGGGCTTTCCTGTGCCTTTTTTCACTCAAGTGTGTGGTTTCTGTCTGTAATTTGAATTAGTGCCAGGGTCACTCGAGGCATGCCCCCATGGGTGTTTTTGGGAGCTGAGGAGGTGCCTCCTCAGTTGCTGCAGTGAGCTGGAAGTGATGGAAAGGCTAATTACATACCATCTATTTGAGTCTTTCGCATACAAAGTCGCTGAAGATTAAATCAATGTTAAAGCAGCTAGCAGTGGGAGAGTTTTAATTGTCTCTACTTCACCTAATATAGGTTCAATGTAACTAAGTCCTTGGGTTTTCTCCTCTCTGTGAAGTCTTGATCCCAAACGTATTAGAATCAATGAAAGATGGATTGTGTGGCTGCTCGGCCAGAAATCTGAAAGTGAGGTTTTGGTAGTCCATCCCTTCACCTTCTCTTCCTCTGACCTAAGAATGAAACAACATTTTTCTCCAAATTTTTCTGAGAGCTATTCTTTATGTGTTTGCTGTAAGGGAACAGAAAACACTCTAGCTCATGTGGAGTTGACTTATTTTCCAAATCCTGGATGCAAAATGAAGTAATTTCTACAATAATTTTGATAGGTTTAGGCCAGCTTTTGTAGATGCCTTAGAAGATTTTTCTTCTCCTGTGAACAGGATTTAAGTAAATTGATGTTGAAATAGTACACTCATGTATACAAGAACTTTTTTTACCTCAATGCAAAAAACATTACCTGTGAAATGGTAAGAAATAGAAGATGACTGTAAACTTCTCAGTAAATGCTTTTGTTTAAAAAAGTAAATATTTTAAAAACTCTGCTTGGTTCTTTTATTTTTTTTTTTGTAATGACTTGATGAAAAATTCCATGGTGTCAATGGAAACCAGAAAATAGTGGTGTAATTTTTATAATCATCCTGTTGGCATATAGAATCATGGGTCACCAGGCTTTCAGCTATATAATCAATGAAAGCTATACCTGTCCTTAACCAGTGATAACCTGGAGCTGATAACACATTATCGGGAACTTGGTGCTTGAATATCATGATTTCCTTTTCTTTTGTTATCTGTGGCAGGGATACACTTATTTTTAATTTTTAGTTTTTATTTTCTTGAATACGAAGAACATGTTTGCTGATGTTCAACCTTCTTTTTAGTCTTTACATTGTCTTCTTATAAGTAGCAGATTTGGTTTGTATTGGCAATGTAGTTTTACAAAACTCTGAATGGAACTTTTATAATTCTGTTTACAGCTACAAAGTAGCAGTATTCTAGGTGGTCTTCAGTCATTTCCTTTATGTAATTCTTTCTTCTAAACAAGCAAACTCTAGAACCATTTTCTTCCTTCCAGGAGTGTTTCTAAATCATGACCTTCATTACTTGCGTTTACCTGTTTTTCTTAGCTGGTATCAGAATTTCTTGGTGTCATTGGTTAAGAATGGCACTCGACAGTTTAGTGTTCCCACTAAAAAGAAAACAACGCAGCCACTTCCCCCACCACCTTCCTTCAGGGAAGAAAAAAGTCCCAGATTACGGGTTGAGATAAGAACAAATTTCTGGAAACAGCAGTGAGATAAGAAAAGAGACAGTAACAGCAACAATGCTAATACCAAAAGTGTACAGAGAGAGGCTGACGTACAAGCAAAATTGTTCACCAAGCCCAGGACCAAAAACCAATGAAAGACAGATCCTTCAGCTGCCATGCTTTCGTGCGCCAAATGCCTTTTTTTCTGGAAGCCCAAGAGTCCCTCATTTTTGCCCAGAAGCAATAGGTGGAGTGGTATAGAACAGCTCAGACACACCCAAACCTCATTCATGGCTGCTGCATAAAAATTAACTCTGTACAGGCTGAAAACAGGGCATACATATGGGTGGATTTTTAGGTTCGTTTTTCCTTACCCTGAGGACTTTTATGCAAGAGGGCTTGTAAGTGAAAATGCCATTTTTGTTTGTGTGTTATGCTGAGAGTTGTGACATCTGAGCCTGCCAAGCCTCTGAAGTAGCAGCATCCTTTCTTATAGTGCCCCCTTTTAAGCACCTCCCACAGTAGGGCTTGGGGTGCTCCCTGGGGAGTCCTGGTGCTCTTCACCTCATTCCTGCATGGTCTTGAGGATTTGCATCCTCATTTTATTTTATGCAACTTCTTGTTTCTGCTAAGGATGCACAGGGGAGGTGTTACTGTACAAGTGGTCTGTACCTTGGCTCCATTCTGCCCCATATACACACAGCCGTGGGAGGTCAGACTTGAATCTTCAAAGGGACCTTCTCAACCTTTCCTTTAAACGTTGTGCCAAAAAACGTCTGGATGTTGGTTTTGATGCAAAACTTGTTACAGTTTTTGTACCTCTCCAGATAGTCAGGACCTCCCTCCTTTTTCTGTTCAACCTGTGGCTATAAATCAATGATATCTCGCTCTCAGTGCAGATCACACAACCTACTCGCAGTTCTCCATGACCCCTCCCTGCACCTATTTGTTCTGTGTCACCCTGATTCTGCGAGGCTCCCTGTGAAGATTAATTTGCCACTGGTGGAGGTCTGAACAGGCATGGATCTGGTTGCAAGATGAGAACCTTATTTTGTTTGTAGTTCATGTTTTCACATAAATACCAGTCAGCTTTCAACATAGAGCAATTTTGAATTTACTGTGGGAATACAGTATCACTCAAACTGATAAAACCGCTGGAGCTTGTAAACTGTGTTGTTAATTAGACCATGTGTTTTTGATGGACTTTTTAAAGCTATTAAAATTTACATGTTGGAGATTGAAATAATTAGTTCTCTTTCACATGTTTGACAGATTTGTGAATGTCGTTTTAAATTTTTTTCTTGTGGCTGAGCTGCTTTGAAATGTACCTAGGAGGAGAATCTGTATATTCTTCAGTGATGTGGTTGCCATGTGCTTGTTGCAAATACATACCTTTCTTTAAAGAATACTGGGTGGGGTTTATTCATAAAGTTTCCATGGCTGTAAGGAAAGAGGTTTACATTTGAAGATGGCATTTAAATTCAAAAGGACACTGTGCCGATGGGCAAAAGGAAGACAGTTTCCCATTTAGCCAGGTTGTGAAAGAGCTCTTTGGGAAGCCAAGGTGCAATTCTCAGCATGTAATGGCATAAAAATAAAAATGCTCCCCTTGCCTATATATTTTTGCTGATCAACACGCAATGTGACTGTCTGTTAGAGAGCAGTTACTTCAGATCCTGCATGTCTTAGAAGAGCAAATATAAACAGTAAGAGTAACAATCTGTGCTTTATAATTTAGAAAGCAAATAATTTTATTCTGTTTCTGATCTTCATTTATAGCACCAGCAACAAGTGGTGCAGGCTGTGGAGCGTGCCAAACAAGTGACCATGGCAGAACTGAACGCAATCATTGGGGTATGTGGTCTTTCCATTTTAGCTCTGATAGTGTTTGTAAACAGCTTTTCTTTTTCTTTCTCTCTTGCATGAACTCATTTCCATCAGGTGGGCAAAAGTTGTGGGCAGTGGTGAAGTTCAGTAGCTTGATCTTCATAAAAGCTGGTTACTACCTGAAGACTTTTGCTTGCACTGTGCCAAGAAGACTAATGGGGTAATTAATGTCTGTGTTGTATCTATTCCCCAAGCAGGCTCAGTATTTGCTTTTTATTTAATTTTTTTATTAGTATTTTTTGTTGTTGTTCTATTTAAGTAACATTGTTTCCTTTGCATACCACCTGCCAGTCTGCTTCTGCAGCCATGGTAACAGGTACCCTTGATATGATAGATGTTTTTTCACATCCCTGCTGTCCACATATTTTTCTGGGTGTTGGTTCGAGACTGACTATTAAAAACATTTTTTAATTGAACATAAAAAGTAGCTCTTACTTAAAACAAATAACAAAAAAAACCAGCCAACCAAAACAAGCCCACTGAAACCAAAACACCCAAGCATACAACCAAAATCAACAGCAGGAAAACTCATCCCCACTGTGCTTATAGGTGTCCTGCCCTTAGTCATCTGTAAATACAGGTGCGTGGAGCCCCACTTGTAAAACCTTTACTGACAGTGGTGTTAGCCCAGTACAGAGATTTTATAGGTGTGGGCAGCCACAGTGTTTATATTTTATAACTGGAGATGACAGACATAACAATGAAAGCCCTGGCTGTTCACACTACATAAAATAAAGGTGAGAAGTCATAGCTTAATAACACATTATTCTCTTGTATAATTATGCAGCTGAAGCAAGCAGTTGTTTTTGTTATTCTAATGAAGACACTACAACTATACTTCGTATCTTCTTCGTCCTCCCAAATGCTTTTTCTTTTGTGTGTAGATTATACATAAAAGTATTTTTCTTTTTTTATTCAGTGTATCAAACACACTTTGAAATGCTAATTATTCCATTTACTTTCATTAAAATTCAAATTGCTGAATGAAGATGTGGATAAGGGTCGCCGAATAATCAATCTGAAGTGAAGATATTGCCTCAATTATACCTCTGTCTTTTTACAAGGAAATCAGGACTTTCTGATCATTGCTGACAGTAGTTTAGAGCAGCGGTCTGATTGTAGCTTGTTTTTAATAGTCTGTTTCTAACTATTTTGTATACCTCTGACCAGAAGAAAGCACTGGTAGTCAATTAGAAATTATAAATGGAAAAGAGTAACCCTTATTTCCTCTGAAGTGCCTGTTAGAAAGAAGGGGGTGAATCAGAGCGCATCGTGTAGAATCATGAAATAACATTTGTTGTATGTCTTTTACGCTACAGTGGGGAGAGTGGGAAATGAATAATTCCCCAATTAGTTTTCATTACCTAACCAAAAATATTGCCTTTTATTAACATTCTTTGCATAAAGTAAGTAGCTAAAGGTTGGCTTCTTTGTTAAAGCTTTTATAAGTGTGTGCTGCATGGCATTTGTAGCGTGTGTGTATAGGTGCATCTGTGGTTTTATGTGTATGTGCACACGCATACTTCATAGTCTACCTGGGCACATTTTTGTTCTTCACCTTTGTGTTTGCATTAAAAAGACTGCAAAAAGGAATTTGAGTTCTAGTAAAGGAAGCAAGTGTATAGTGTGTGATGTTACAGATACTGGCCATCACACACTAGTTATTTAAATTATCTTGCTTTCATGAACCACTAAACCACACGGAGTAAAAATAAACAGATGAGACACTTGTCTGGGAGCCTGGCAGTAATTCTGTTGGTCTTCCCCCCACCAGACAGAAGTAAATTTTCTCTTCTTTTCTTGTCTGAGTTTGTCTTTACATGTCAGCTGAAATACTATTGTCTCAAACTTCTCTAAACTATCACACTTCAGGTTTGTGCATTAAAGTTGGCCAGCCCTTGCCTCCCTCACAAGCCTGATTTTTACCTTGTTTTTCTGTTAAAAAGGGAGCCTTTTTTCACTCAGCTGTTTTATGATGGCTTAGGAAATACTGTGTGCTCCTCTTTAATTTTAGAAAAACAGGAGCAATACGCTAAAAAGAATTGAAATTTAATACTGATTAGGTTTAAAGTGAAATAATCACATGCAGTCTTTTAGAGATTAATTTTTTTTAAATGGAATAAACAGGAATGCAAGTTATCTAATAAGCTTTAGATCATATTGCAAAAATTCAACAACAGTGTTATGTCTGCACTTAGAGAGATTTAAAGTCTGAAAATGTAGCATGAGGCTAAAAAAGACTTGTTGTACTTTGTAAAATGAATACCAATAAAAATAAAACAAAGAACATAACTGGAAATCATGACTTTTTAATGTATCTGATTATGTTGTCTTACATTATTTTCTGTTTAGTAAGTCTGACAGGGTTTGTGTTCTTTTAACCCTACAGTATTTAAAACTTCCAATGTTTGTTTAACCCATTGAACTGTGTATCAGACAAAAACAGAAGGAGTATTTGAGTTTTGGGAATAAAACTGTAGCTTAAGTCTCTCTTTGTTTTGTGGGCATCCAATTCGGTTCACCTCACTCATGCTGAACTCCCTTGGTTCAAACAGAGCAACTCTGGCTTTGAGTTAAAAGTGCATGCTACCAGAATGGAGTGTGGCACAAGGAAAAGAATTGAAGGTGCACAGATCATATCTCTCTTTGTGTTTCACATGTATATATTTTTGTATGAATGTGCTCTGATTTAATGGAATCTGATGAAGCACCTTTTAACTTTGCAATATTATTCTATCTTCATTGGTAAATGAACCAAATCACTGATCCGTGCAGTTTAAATGCAAAATACTGAAGTGAGCCTGGAACCCAGAGAGACTGCCTGTTCTCCTGACAATGAACTAGTTATGTTTAATGGAATGAAACAGAGTTATAATGACTTCTTTCACAGGTCATGTTCAGTTTAAAACTGTTGATGGGCTCAAACAAGTTAAATATCATCTATCATCTTCTGGAGAGATACTGTGAGAAAAACTAAACCCAAACTGGGTGTATCATAAGCATGCTGCAGGAGCATCCAGAGTCTACCTCTGGTGTTTGCCATGGGCAGTGTGGTGCAGCATTCTTGCTCAGGGCAGTCTGTAGTGCACATTCGGAGCTCCTTTCCAGGCTGGGTGTTCCAGGATGAGCAGTGTGATACATACGAGTTGATCTCGTTGTGTGTCGTGCTGCCGTGTTTTTATATTAGAATCTGCAAGATTGCACTGTTGGAGCAGCACACAAATCGTAGCCTTGAATCAGTAATATGATCTAATTAGGAATGATGTTTTCATTTCCTGTATTAATAAATTGTCTATCTTTCTTGAAATGTTGAGGTTGTTTTCTTTAATCCATTATACTCTACAATTGGAACATGCTGTGTGAATGGGGTTACATTTTAATAAGGGAACCAGGGAATTAACTTGTAACTTTTTAAGAATTTTATCTGTTTAAAATAATAGTTTTTGAACTGCATTTGGGTAGTAAGGCAGAAATGAAGGCTTGTGTGCCTGCTTATCACATGGAGAGAGATAAATGTACCAAAAACTTAAGAGCAGGTATGTGATGGTGTTCAAAGAAAATGCAGTTTAGCACAAGAAATGCTGAACCTCAATTTTTAGCAGTGACATTTTAATGATAGGAAGTCTGCAAAATTATTTGCCATCAATTGTGAAGGCAATAACAAGCCTTGGTGGTTTTTCACACCCTCTGTGTTAAGTGCTTTCAGAATGACAGCGTAAACTGTGTTGGAGAACTCCAAGGAAGTAAAACTGATTAAAATGTTCATGCTTGAATGGTGCTGATGGAATAGTTCATTTGGACTTTCTCTACCTCCTGCAGCTCAAGCTGAAATATTAAAATTCAGTGAATTTAAATCTCTCTCCCCTCAGCTCAGGAAAAAAACATTACATTTTAATAGGTTTTAAACTCATAATTCATTGGTTTGGAGCAGCACTATTAAATCTATTTAAATATTACGTGTATTACTAAGGAAATGATTGAAATAGTTCTTTTTCTTTACCATTCTATGCATCTGAGTGAAAAAAGAATGGCTTTGGTTTAATTTTTAAGCATTTTGTTTTATTATGCCACTTTTATTATCTTCTTAAAAATAAGCAAATGGCAGTTACTGGAAGAAAGGACTCCTTCTGTCTTGTCACACATAATTACTATGTTAAAATGTTTCTTCGTAAATGCACTGTTTGTCACAATTTCTACCCTGTGTTTGAGGCCAAGGTGCTTGTTTGACCTGTCTCAAAAGGTCCATAATTTTTGTTTGCTTTCAAGAGAGTGATTGTTTTACAGCTGTAGAGAACAGCAACTGTTTAGAAAATAGTCATGGAAGCTTTTGAAAGTAGAGTGGCGCAGATAAGTACACACAGCTTGAAATGAGGAGTTGGTCTCAGTGCCTGCCATCATTGCCATGGTGCCTTGTCCAGGGTTGCAAATGCCAAATGCTGCTTAACATGCAGAGGCATCTCTGCTCCTTTCAGCGGGTGGCTGGTTTCTGGCTCGTGTGTGTGGGTGCTCTGAGGAGGAGTGAGGGTTTTCTGCTTGAGCCAGTACACAGTGTGTGTGGAGAAGCTGTTCCTGCCCAAGCGTGTGCGTTCAGAGATGGTGGGTGGCTGAGGGCAGTCAGAGCAAGTGTGTTGGAGCATGGGGACAGCAGTCACTTGTTTCTCCAGCCCGTCTCTATTGCTCATTCGAGGTGTGTTAAGCAGTGGTTGAAGCTTGAATTCTGTAAAACAAGTTGGTGGTCTGTTAAAGTGGGACAGCAGAGGTTGGCTTAATAGCTCTATGCTTCGAGTTACGTTTATTTGTGTACCCTAATGTTGAAATTCAGTGCTCCCCATTTAATTACTCTTGTTTGTTGATTTTTTATTGAGTGGTGATCTGGTCCTGCAAATATTTTGATCCTGCCTAGTGCCTGAAATTGGTTTGTAGAAGGCTTTTGGGGTGAGCACTTCTGGTTTTGAATTATTTACCTG